GAGAGAGAGAGAGAGAGAGAGAGAGAGAGAGAGAGAGAGAGAGAGAGAGAGAGAGAGAGAGAGTTGACATGGATGCGTTGCCGCCACCACAAAGTCATTACTTTGTAGTTTTATTTGTCTAGGCTGCAACAGATTATCTGGTCCTAATGAATTCAATGCGTGTGTATCGAATGAAGTGTGTGTACCACACATTGAATGAAAGTGTGTGTACCCGGCTAAAATCTCATAATGGAAGTGAAGGGGATTGGTTTCAGGAGCCTGATTGCAGCTGTGCATGGGGGTAAAACTACAGATGCATGTGTTTTCAGCTGATTATGGTGAGTTAGGCATCTTTCACTGAGTATAGCGAGTAATGGATTCTTCTCGCCGGGAGCGAGACCTGGTGACTGCACTTCACACACATTTGAGCAGAGGGTTGAGTGTTCGTGATGAAATACACAGTCCATCATTTCAGGTGCCAGAAATTTCTTTTCTGAAGTTTGTGACACCCAGGGCTCGTAGTACTTGTTAGAAGAGGTAGGTTTTCAATTTCAGTCTTTGTGAATCAATGGAAAAGTGCTTTGTTGTCTCATGCGGGGATGAACTGGCCAATTGCCATCGTACTGTGCAGTGTTGTTTTACAGGTCATCAAGGTATTGCTTACGGCTGTCACATCCAACTCCTTCCAAGGTAAACAAAAAGGGCTTCCTTGCTCCCCCTACACCTTCAGTGACTAGTCCTAGCATAGGATGGATTCATGTTGTCCTTGCTCTTTCTACCCCAGAGTGGTATCACCGCTTCTGAACGATGACCCAGTTGAAGGCACCTTTTCTCAACGAGGACCCGGTTGAAAGCAAACTCACTAACGGAGAAGAGTGTGCCTCAGCTACAGTGCCGGGCCTTCCCTGGGAGCGGCCATGTGTGTGGCTCTATGTGGATCTGTCTGTGTGGCTGTCATGTCCGTGTCGGACGCAGTGCAAAAAGATAACAATCGGCTAACAAGGCCCATGAGTAGGATCATGTTTTTATGGGCAGGATGCATATATGCCGTTTGTCTTCGTACATTGACGGCGTTGAGGGTCATAAATGTTGATGTGTCATGTAAAGCTTGGTTGCTCTGCTGAAGATTTATCGAACGTTAGCCAATGTAAAACTTAAAGTGGTGCTTCTGGCAGTTCTTTCTCCCCAAGTTGGGTAGGTGTGACTGCTGGCCCCTCTCTTTCGCCTTGCAAAATTGTTTGGGACACCTTGCCCATGTTTGTATTGTGCGGCTGCATGTTGTGCATTCACCGTTTTCAACTTTCTTCAGCCATTGGGTTTGTGCTTGGGTACTGTGATCAGCCATGTGTTTGGGTCTATGCTCACACTCTGCCAATGTTTGCTTTTGCAGTTCATGGCGAGTGCCTGTTGGCGTCAATCAGGACGTGCTATAATATTGTGCTGAGCAGGTAAGACATGCATCATGCACGCGTATTCATGCTAACTCTTGTGAGGTTCAGTTGGTAACTAACTCAGGGCACGCTTCCTTGTTGTGCGTATTGTCTGTGCCTCTGACTTGAACACTTGATTGTTGATGGCGTGCTGCAAGTCACTGACAGCAGCGTCGCACTCGTTGGTGGTGGAAATTGTGTGTGTAGGCAGCATCGAGTGTTGGAGTAATTGCTGTCTGCAGGTTAATGTGTTCTCCAGTGTTGTTTAATGGGTGCCTGGTATCTGTCGATGTCATCATCGTCCTGCAAAATGAAGTGTTTTGATACGATGTTGATGCCATAGGCGTCCTGGTGAGCGTTATATTTTGTCGGTCTTTGTGTCACCATTTGCTAATTTGGAGTTGTGGCTTTTGCCTTCAATCGAGTTGCGTGTTGCACTTGTCCTGATGGTGATCAGACCTTTAGGCATGTTCATCTTGCTGGCTATGCCCATGGATTGTCATTCTTTGATCCATCCAATAACCCAGAGAACTTGCATCGCCTGCAGGCCGTTGGATCTCTGGAATGCCCTGCGCAAGACCTCCTATCTCTGTTGAGACTATATGGCTGCATGGCAAAAACGATGTGTTCATTGGCAAATGTGTTGTGCATTGCATATTGAGCTTCCCTCGTTTCTTTCCTGTTGTTTTGTGTATCGACTCGAGCAGCAAGAATGCAGTTAATCAAGCAACTGCTAAGGCAACCCTGTCACAGATGATTAATGTCGTCTTTAAGCGCATGGAAACAGGATCACCTGGCATGGTACGTATGCGCTGGCTTTGTTGTACTGTTGGGTGAGAGGTTGAACTCCGCTGAGAACTGAAGGTTGCACGAGGTTCCTGTGTGATACTTCTCTTGTGGGTGCTTGGATGATCATGGTGCCTGTTTTAGTGGGTTTATGTTCGTTAGGACATTTTCTTGATAGTCAATTGTCTAAGTTCGGTTGTTTCCTTCTGTCCATGTGGCATGTGAAAGTTCAAGAACTGGCTGACACTTCTCGTGCTGATTGGATGTGTCAAAAGGGTTTCTTGCGGACATTGTCAGCGACTGCAACACTTGGTTCGCATGGGGAGCGTTCGGAGTCTACCCTCTAAACGAGTTCTGCCTGCCATCCTTGGACATAGGAACAGACAGAGTGCATTGTACCGTGCAGATAATGCTTCACACTCTCATCTGCTAAGACCAGAAGGATAGGGAGGGTTCTGCGGTTTCCGGATATTGAGTTTGTGTATAACACAGGTGGTGATCGGCAGGTGTCTCTTTGAGATTGAGCATGCATAGCCGCCTGCATTCTCTCACAGATTCCTTTATTCCTAATTTGGCTGAGTCAGATCTGTGATAGGCTTTCACATGAGCACAGGATATGTGACCTGGTCCACAAACTTGGTACAAGTTGCAGAAGGTGCAGAAACGCATGCAGCAGCAGCCCAACCAGTACTGGTTGCCTTTTCTATTTGGCAAGGGTGAAGTAATCTGGCTTGACAAAGGCCAATTTGACTGTTGCGGGAGACCAGTCGGACATACTTTTCTTTTATAATAATGTGCCGCCTCACATTATGAAGGACATATTTTCTGCCCTCGCACTAAAGCTTGCTCCTTTCAGCTGAGTGCAACTTCTTTTGCGAGGACGATTGGATGGATGGCTTTTCACACATCAGCTCACACTGGCACTATGCGAGCAAGGATGATGAAGTACAGATCATTGGCCGACCCACGCAGAGCTCGACGCTACAACACTGGACATCATTTCCTCTGAGCGCTGGTGACTTGCACGGAATGCCTTATAAGTTCATCTCACATGCCTGGCCAGGACATTGATTACCTCGTTTGGATCTTCAGTTTCACACTCGTGGTAGCTTCTTAAAATGCCAGGTCCTGGCGTGCTGGCCGCCGAGCCTGTCCGCGGCCAACATCCGAGACTCTTCAATTAAGGCCGTCTCTTGATATGAACTAGGCAAGCCTCTCTCTCGAATGTAAGAAATGGAGGGCCATGGGGGACTAGCATTTCCAAGACAATAAAAATGAAACTGGTACAGTTAGCTTTCCGTGAACGGCAGCCCTTGCATAAAATGAAAACCAAAAGGAATGTCAGGGTACACTGAGTGCCTGGTTCGACTGCACAACATTCTACATGCATCTGGCCCTGAGATGCTACGAATATGTTCAACAGCCTAAACGTATCTCTGCATTTCTCTCCTTCCCTACAAGGTTCACTTCTGTAATGGTTACATGTCAATACCGTTGCAAGCAGACTCGCATTCATTCACACTTCACACGTATGCAAACAGGTCGCGCAGCAAACTGGCGCCAGGCACCCACTCAGAACTCAGAGATATAGCACCAAGAACGCAGTCAGATACAAGTTCACTTCACATGGCTATGGCGACACATCACCTGAACAAGTCTCTGTTCGTCACTCACTTGTCACTGCTGTTCGCATACAGGATCACCCTGGATACCCCACACGCAACACCCTGTACACTTGCGCACACACTCACACACACCTACAGCTATGGCGGCTATGGCCGCTTCTACCCTATCGCTATGGCTAACTCCTTCTCGCCCTCTTCGTCCCCGGGCTCACTGCAGACCACCTCGCACAAGTCGCTATGGCAGCGCTTCCGCATGGCTTATGCAGGAATGAATGAATGGCTGGATGCTGCCTCCTTATTTATCCTTCTGTAGCTTGCTGGTCTGGCCCTTTTCCCTCGGCCCATTGTGCACAGTCCCATATGGTACTTGCTGGACTGGACTGGGACTGACTGGACCGTACCGCTGACTGCATGGAGTTGGACCGCAACCTCACTGCAGTTGCACTGCCAACACACTGAGGTTCGCTCCACCACTTGCCCACTTGCCTCTGCCTAACGTGAGCCTATTCCGAAAGGCCACTTCCGGAAGTCTGTAGACTTGCCCTTTCGGTACTGTAGCAGCTACGACCTTGACCCTGCAGACAGGCTACAGCTACGACCTCTAGAACTCACTAGGACTCCTATCCGACAGGTCTACAGATCGAACCCCTACCCCTACACCGACCTACGACAGACAACAACAACTGTCAAAACACAGGTCACGGGTTCAAACACTCGGGGACCACACAGATACTGTACACAGGTAAGGTGGGACTAGGGATCGAGCCCGGGGATCTGCGCTCGCTACTGCTGACAGGTGGAAACCGTTTCACCGTAGCCGATTCCTCCCCCACGCTTACCGGTTCCTTCTGTCGCCAAGTGTTGACCTGAGGACTTCCTCGCTTTCCACGGGAGTGTGGTCAGGCCGATGAACTCTTCGTAAGCTTGGTGTGCAATTTAGCCGTCGTCTCACCCGGAGGAGCTCTGAAGGCTTGCTTCTTTCTCCCGCCGTGTGGTTTCCTCCTATCATTAACCTTCTCCCCTGCCTATTTCTTATTCATGTCATATCTCCCCTCTGTTGTCTACTTCTTAACCCAATCCTTCTTCATGCGATGCCACCTGTGCCGCTGGAGCTTTTCACCTCAGCTCCTCTCCAGTTCCCTCCTCCTTCCCGCTGTTCCCACTCACTCTCATCCTTTCACTCTCCCTGCCCAGGTGTCGTCTCCTCCGATCAATACCATTCGAGGAGCCTACCCCCCTCCCCCTCTGTCCTAAATCCAATGTTCCCTCCCTTCCTAGTCTTCCCTTGCCCATCCACGACTGCTGTATGTCACCTCTTTTTCGCCATGTTCAGTTATCTAATTGCGGCAACCCATCCCTACCTCTACGTTGTTTCAACTTAGCGTGACCTGTCCGCAATGCGATGCCGACCGTCTGTACGCCCGCACGTTAACCCTCAACTATGTCGGCGGGCTATCCCATCGGCGTCACTGGACAAGGAAGGGGATGCACAGCTATTCCGCACAATGGTTTGCTCCCTCCCTCCCTCTTCTTCCCTTCCCCTTGTGCACGCCAGCCGCCACTTGTCCGCCACACTCCCAGTCTCGTCTTGGTTATGCCGGCTGACCGTCCCGTCGGCCGTCATAACGGACGAAAGAGGCTCGCTGCTATGCCACGCGCAGGTTCCTAACCCTATCCCTTTCTCTACGTTGTTTCAGTTTAGTTGAAAGAAATAGCGCTTAGCACACATGCCTGCAAATGAAACGACCCAGTCTCGTCTTGGTTATGCCGGCTGACCGTCCCGTCGGCCGTCATAACGGACGAAAGCGGCTCGGGACCTTCCCAGGCCCTAACCGGTCCGGCCGCCTGGGCAGCCCACGTGACATGGGCGCCCGGGTTTGTAGCCCAGCCGAAAACAACTGAAAAAAAGATTCAGGTGCTGAATCATGTCTTGCTCTGGGGATGGGCTTACATCTTCACTGGCTGGTTCCAGGGGTGCGGGCTTGGTGAAATTGAGTGTGGTTTATGGCTTTGTCATTGAGTTTTAGCAATTGGAATCCTCTGGAGCCTTGTGATGTTGGCGGAACATGTCGCTCAAATGTGGAATTCTCTGTGTTCTTTTTGTGTGTTGACAGGGCGGTGGCGCTTTGGGTGCGACTTATGCTGGGAAACACACCCGATCAGCAACTGTGCCAGAGCTTCAGTTGGATAGCTCTGGGCATCATCTGCCTGCAAGGTCAGTCTCTGGCAGAGGAATTGACGCGGCCCTGGAAAAGATGGATTTGACCAGTAGAACTTCAGACCAGGGCCATTCGCCAAAGTCTGTTGCTTCTTCGGTGGGATCAGGATCTCCACTACATGCAGATAATGCATCGGGAATGCCTGTTGTCACCCTGGAAGAGATCCAGACTATGGCTGGAGATGCTGATATCAAGGTACGTGGGATGGACCTCCACATGGATATCGACATGGACCGCCTCCTTTCTTTTCTTCTCTTCTTCTCTTTTTCTCTTTTCTTGTTTTTTTTTTTTTTTTTTTTTTTTTTTTTTTTTTATTTGGACCATTTCTCGATTTATGCGTGTCATCCTTGCGCAGGGGCCATGCTAATCTTCTCTGTATCGTTCCAATTTTAACGGATGTCCCGAAGGACTCTTTTTCTCTTTTCTTCTTCTCTTTTCTTCTTCTCTTTCTTCTTCTCTTTTCTTCTTCTCTTTTCTTCTTCTCTTTTCTTCTTCCTTTCCTATGCCTCGGATTGTGTGTGGCATCGGCTCACCGTTTAGTTTGATGCAGGAACTAAGGGAGTTGTATCTATGGGTTCCAGTTTTCATTTTGTTTTTAATTTTTAATAAAGATTTTGACCATTTCACAATTTCTACGTGGCATCCTTGTTCAGACGCCAGGCAATTGTTTACATATATGGGCACATGAGTACACTTTTGAACTGGCTCTGTTGTGTAGGTGTATTATTGGGCCTCGATCTACCACCGTGATTCCCTTTGAATAATTGACGTGTGAATGGAGTGTTGTCTGACTCTCGAAAACAAGGTTTGAAAGTGATGTTTCTGGAGTCCTTACTCCACCTACCCTCGATTTTCTTGCACTTGGGAGAATCTGTTTTTTTCTTTTCGTTTTTTCTTTTGCCAAGTACGTCACGATAAACAATCGACATGACAGCTTGGTCCCAACGTGTGCCAAACTCTCAGACCACAAGGCTGCATGAGAGGCCTCTCAATTTTCGAGAGTCTGCAGGCGGAGTACTGGATGTTCTTAGAGTCCTCCGGAAGGATTCTTACTTATAGCTCTTGATCCAATTTCGAGAGTTTGCCATCAAAAGCTGCTGGAGCAGCGGCCGACTCTCGAAAACACAAAATCGACAGTGGATTAGCTTCGTACAGATGTGTCTTGAAGAGCAGCTTGTACAAGTCAGTGTTGTGCATGTGGTCATATCTGAGAAATTGCAAAGATCTCTCTTGGGGAGGGACTTGTACGTGTCAGTGTTGTGAATATCGTTATATCTGAGAATGGATGGGGCTTCCAGATCTGTACGTGTCAGTGTTGTGAATATCGTTATATCTGAGAATGGATGGGGCTGCCAGATCTCCATTCTGAATGCAGGCTGACGGACTGGTCTGCCTCACATTCGAAGTCTGCATCCGTCTTTTTTGTGAGCAACCTTGCGGCTCCTGGCTTTATCAACATTATGTCCACGTAGGCAGCAAGTGTCGGACATCTCTCACCTCAATTCGTTATCCTTCAGCAAAGAAATAGGCAAGGTTTTGGAGCAAGGGATGATAATTCCAATGTGGTCGTAAGGGTTTGCTTGACAATTACATTTTCCTGTTTTGGTAAAGGATCACCAGAAAACAATGCAAAAATCCACCAGTGGTGGAGGTTGCTTGGAATACGGATGTGGGCCTGAGCATATTGATTATGGATTTAATAATGTAGATCGAATCACACATGCATTTGTATCAAAACAGTTACATGTGTGAACCCACGTTGTACTCTTCTCACCATTTTTATCCCTTTGTGTGATGGGTCCGGATGCCTGTGCTCTGGCTTTTAAATTTATGCCGTGAATGTGCTGAGCAGCGACATCATTTTCGTTCAGTGGCTGGCTGGAAGCATATCGTGCAGTATATCTGACTCGGGCTTCTGTCTTTATACACCTTCTCCATCACTTCTCTCTCAGGGGCTTGAGGCTGCGTTAGACAAGGCCGCACATCCGGAGGGCAAGAAGCATCCCGAGTGAGTACCTTCGCTTGACAAAGCGTTGTCTGTGAAGCTGTTCCACTTTTGGCTCCAAATTCAGCTGTCTGTTTGCAAAGAAGCAAGTTAGCATTGTGCTCTCATCTTGTAAGTTGGAGTCATAGGTGATGAAGCTAATGTGTTTTTGTGACCCTGAATCCAGTCTTCTATTCCACTTTCATTTCTTAAGACGGAGCCCTATCACAACAAATATTAAAACTGCTAACTCGGGGGTTGGTATCAAGTCCAGGCCATGAACAAGCTATCATAGCTGTTTATTTTTCTGGTCGTTTGCAATTCGTGTTTGAAGATTTTGTCGGGATCGTCGCATTGGGGACATAAGAGAAGATCGCGAATCAACAGTTGCAAAATTTGGTGGTAATTGGTGTTGTGGCATTCTTTTTTCGCTTGCTGTGGGCTGTGTCTTCTTTTTGTTTTTTTGTTCTGCGGGAATGAGCATGTTCTGGTTTCAGTGACCTCTCTTAGGGTGTGTGCTGGTTGTGGGCCTGATTTTTCCACGAGCAGATGAAATGTTTGATTGGCCCTGATGAGCGAGTGGAAGACATACATGAGGATGCAGTAGGCCTTCCGGATTCCACATATTCCAGGAACAGGGTCAGTTGCAGAATCCGGCAGTAGTACAGGTCTGACCTGGAAAAGGGATTCTGAAGAGCCCACTCTGTTTCTAGAAGAAGCAGAAGGCAGGTTTGCCTGAATGTAGCAATTGGGATGTGCCAGATGAGGTCGGACAAATCAGTTTGGAGGACTATGAGTCACAGCACTATGATGGCGCAGCTTAGAATGGCACATTCGACTACAAGAGAGATGAACTCAAAATAATGTAGTTAGAGGTTTTACTTCTCACAACTGGGTTGCATACCTGCTGATCGCCGGCCCTGACTGCGTCGGTCAGCGGTCTGCCGGCCGGTCAGAAAACAACCATCCGCTGATTTTTTTTCAAATCTGAGTTGGGGGCTGTACCACGCTTGCGGAGTACAGCCCAAATCCGCTGGGGGGGGGGGGGTATGGGTGGGGTATTGGGGGGGGGTAACGAGGGTTTGGGGGGCGTTTTGGGGGTGTGTATGGGGGTATTGGGGGCCGGTAATGAGGGTTTTGGGGGCGGTTTGGGGGTGTGTATGGGGGTATTGGGGGCCGCTATGGGGGTGTTTGTGGGGTTATTAGGGATTCTGTACCCCCCAATTTTTTTTATTCTTACTTCTGTTTTTTTGCAGGGTGCCGATGACCCCTGACCGGTAGGTGCCGACCAGTCAAGGGCCGCCTCCCGTCGGGGTATGCAACACTGTCTCACAGTGTCGCTACATCATAAACTGCGGACATGACCGCACTACAGACATTGAACTTTATCATTCAGACTGAGCAGTTGGATGTAGAAGTACTGTAGTGCAGCCATGTCTGCACTTTATGATGTAGTTACGCGGTGAAATGTAAAACGTTTATTCTGAGTTCATCTCTCTGTCTCTGTTGGTGGTTTCGATTTCTGTTGTCTATTCTGAGGGAAGATTGGCCAAATGTTTTGCCCTTGATCTCCTCTCCTGCTGCAAGAACATGTACTGAATATGGATGCTGGCGGGGTTTAATGTGCCAGGGGCATTGATCTAAACAGCTTGAATCTTGTTGAGAGGGATGCACTCTTGCTGTTCCGCACTCTGTGTAAGGTGAGTCGGTTTCTCATGTAAAACCATAACTCTCTTGGCTCCATCTCAATTCTCTCCCGCATCATCCTCTTTTTCCTAACGACAGTCATGGACTGTGTTCTTCTGCTTTGAATCTTGAGTGGCTAGTGTTTTCTTTTCCCTGTTTCCCGGAAGGGCATTGCCCCTAAAGTTATTTTGCTCATCTGTGTTTGAACTAATGTTCTGTTAATCAATGGCTACATTTGAGTGGCATGCAGGTACAGGCAACAGATTTCCAGCTACTTTCTTCCATGCTTTGCATTTTGATAATGTTGTCCTTCTATTGTCTCTCCGTGCCTCCTTACCTATTCGGTTAGGATTTGTTGGGCAGTCAGAATATAACAATTAGTGTCAGCCACTGATGCTTCTATCTAACCGTCTTTTCGAGCAATGCTTGGGTTAGGCAGTGGTGCAACTGAGTGCTTTCTATGTTTTGTGTTTTGCTGAGGACTAAAAACGGAAAAGGAGGTCTGTAAGGGCACTAACATGCTTTGTCAGGTGGTACTTAACTGGAAGTCACACACACACACACAACACACACACACACACACACACACACACACACACACACACACACACACACACACAAACACAAACACACACACACACACACACACACA